GGGTACTTTCACCTGTAGACGATAGTTGAGTCTCCTATACAGAAAAAAAAAGAAAAATGCTCGATATATTGAAATATTTATTAAAACAGTCACCTTAATGCAAGAACAGAAAAGTTTCATAATTACGAAAATATTATGATTATTAGGATAATTCATAATTTAAAAACAAAATTAGTTTATTATAATTAATATACATAATTTAGTTTCACTAGAAGGTAATTTTCTTCTATGCAATTTGATTTCTACTCAATTGATAATATAAATGTTTAGATTAGTTTAAAATGCGCATATTGAAAATGCAACAGATGATTATTTACAAGAAAAAAAGAAATCTATTTTTATCAAATATATAGCATAGCAGAGAAGAATGAAAATATAAAAGAAAATATCATTATCATCATCATATTTTCCATTTTACACAGATGTTATTTTCTATTCAATTCTATTATATTATTTAATAGCCTAATGTCATTTTCACTGGTAGGAAAATTAATATGTGTAAGTTAAATCTTACATTATCTACATGAATATATATTTTCTTATTATTCTAAAATTTCTAATAATTTTTTGTCGTAAAAATCAATACTTACGTTATTGTCCATTACTAATATATTTTGTATTTATTTCGTTTTAACCTCTAGCGTCTGCACACGAGCATTACAACGTAAGCATAATAAATATATGAAACAAAATCGATCAAGCGAATCTTTATTTACCATGATTGTGTACAATTATACTTTTGACAAAAAAACAAGTTGCATAGTTTTGAGGCTTACTTGTTTTGTGTTTAGTTAGTCGTACGAAAAGCAATTCGTATTGATACAAATATATATAAAAATCGATGTATACGCAATCGATTTTTCTCAATGACAATAAACATAATAAATCCTTATAATATGATCAAGTATTAGTACATTATGTTTTTAACAAACAACTAATTTTTATTCTTTTCTTTTTGAAGGTTAAAATGACTTACTGAAAAAAAACTAATCGATCGTTTTGATCGAAAATTATTATTGTTATCATCATCATTCCAATTTGATGGTGTAGTTAAACGATATTTACGAGTTCCAATAATATGTGATTTAACTTGACTAAGTAAAGATAAACGATGCGAAAATGCAACTTGTGGTTTTTTTTGTAGACTGGTTTGATACACGTTTTTTTATATTATCAATATTTTCAAATGATTGATGTTTCGAATGAGATAATGAAATAGATGAAGATTCATCAGTTGTTGATGTCGTTGTTGTTGCTGCACGAAATCGAGATGAACTTTTACCACGTAATCTAGTACGAACTTGACGTAATAATGAATGTGATCGACTATTATTATGAGCAGATCTACATTCAGAATCTGTACTTTCACCAGACATATTGTATGAAAATAATATTGGCTAAAAAATAATAGTACATTTAATTATTTGAAAATATAGAAGTTTCTGAATAAAATAGTTATAGAAGAAGAAAAATACGTTACTCTTTTTTATTAATTCTAATACGACTCATGTTTCGTAAATACATTATAATGTTTTTTGGGTAAAAACGGAAAATTATCTCGATTTCTTATTGTTAAAAGAAATTTTATTTCTATACTTTATTACTAACATTAAATGAACATTTAAATATAATAAAACTAAAATTTACCTTTAAAATAGTAAATGACAATCAAAAGAATTGTACTAATAATGTACATGCAATCGGTGCATGTTCATCGCTAGTATATGTATGTATATATATACTCGTTATCTTATATAATCATTGCTCATTAAATAAAACTTATACTTCTAGTATTAATATAGAATGAGCAACAATTTTGTATCGTAACTATTTATTTTTATCATTAGTGTCTTTTACTGATGTCATATATTTGAATTACAAATCAATATTGATTTGTTGAAAGAACAACCTTTATCTTTTTCTTAAGTAAAGAATGAAGTAGTCGTCTTATACTATGTAATTCAATTGTGGTCCCGAAAAAGCAACAGAATAACGACGAATTGAAAAGATTAACTTAATTCAAAATGATTATGTCAATTGAAAATGTTTTATTTTTGATTTTATATACATCTCAAATAATGACATTCGATCCTTGTTTTTGATTATATATTCAAATGTCATATACTCACTTTTATCATGATCTTTATTTGTAATGTTTTTTGAGTCAAAAGAAAAATGCCAAAAAATTATTATCAATCGATATATAAATTAAAATCTTTGATTAATAAAGTATTCATTGGTATATAAAACATGTTCTGGTATCGATGTGCTGTTATTCTATAAAGAAGAACTGGAAAATGCAAGAAAACAAGAAGTTTCATATTAGTATAGAACGATATGTTTTTTTGATCATAATATAAAGATAACTCATTTCTTTTCTTGTTCTTCTGTTCTGTTTTTCTCATCTGAAGAACACATATAATAATAACATCGGCAATAAAGCAAAAAATACGACATATATTGATATTTATCGAAGACAAAATCTGTAAAGCATATTGTTTAGTTAATTGTCACGCGTCGATCAATAATAACTTAACACACACGGAAATAAATAAATAAACAGAGAGCAAGATAAATCACGTGTTAGCAGCGTGTCCGCTTACTGCAGATTATTCATCAAAATATCGTAAATCATATGTTTTTCAAGAACTATCCTGTAATGATGTGATCCATTCGCTACTGTGAAGCATTTTCTATTACTAGACGAAGTGAATCATATTATATTCCTCATTAGTTAGTAATGCGGGACAATGAAAGAATGTGCTGTTCGGAGACAGTTTTGGAAGCCCGATATTTTCTCTACAACGATGACTAGCCACAGGAGCTCTTAATGTACGTCATTAACGCACTCAGTGTGCTATGGGACGGATGATTCGAAATAAGTAGCCGTTTGTAATTTGTCCGGAGTCATTCTAAATCGAGTAGTGTCGAGATTTGATCACAGTATTTTATGGGTATGTATCGAGCAGCTTAACTACTCAACCTAGCAGTTTGTATTGAGGGAGACATTCATTCTTAAAAACTAATTAGATATGAAACCAGATGTTAATTGATAACGTTGTTGATGACATATTCCGATGGTAAATCTCACTTTGACATCATCAATTGAAATAATAGATAGTTTAAAGATTAGTTCAAATTATGATGACTGTAGTAACATCAACTGAATCTTCAGGAGATTTTGACGTTTACAAACGTATTAGTAATAAGAGTAACACTTCGAAATTGATAAGAGATATATCTTTTATCTCGTTTATGGAAAATGACTTGAAAAATATAGACATATCAATCGAGACGTAAATTAAGTATCTTGCAGTACACTATAGTATAAACGTATGCATATTTGATCATAAGTAAATAAAAGAAATCGATACAACAATAAATCATATAATTTCTAAATAGCTCTTTTTGTTTTCTTGACTAACATCTGTATGTTTTTGAGAGATTTTATAAACATACATAATAATAACAAAAGAAGAAGAGTTAAATTAATTCTATGTACAACTCAATTTCTACTGACTTCTATTCTTTGTAGTCTATCTAAATAATTGTCATTATCAACTATTACTCAATTAAATATTATGTCATATTATAATTTTCTAAAGTTCGATTTAAATAAGAAAATAAAACAAAAAAAAACATCTCGTCAACAACGATTTATGAAAATAGCTTTACGTAGTTTTATAATATGTATAAATTGTTTACGTTTTGACGTTTACCTATTGAATATAGAATAAATTACTAATAAAATTTAATTATCAATGGATTGATTACGTCATAATCTTTTATTCGAGTAAATAATTTTCAAAAATAAGAGATCTTTCTATTGAATTTAATGAGTAGAATAACATCTCTGAGGTAAAAGGATTAATTCAAGAATATGATATTATTTGAAACTAAGTTTTAATTTAATGATTTTTAAAAGTCGTCTTACCGATATATCTTTGAGAGAAAAAAAAGATGAATTTCTCTTCTAAATCTATAAACTATGACTTACTTGATTCAAACACTAACAGAACGTCTAAATACTTCAGTTTTACTTTTAACTGAATGTTATCCGTAAAAATAGCAACGACGTCTGTTCCAGATTGACAAACAACAAGTAAAACACGTCCACCACTATCATTTTCTTTAATTATTTTTGAAATTAAATCTGTTGCACAACAAACTTTAATTGAAATAATCATTTCTTAACGTACAGGACATGTTAGAAAACTGTGTTATTGAGACTAAGAGTGTAAATATATCTTGAAAAAAAGGAAATTCAAAGAAGAAAATAATTATATTTCAACAGAATTTCCATTAATATTCATATTATTAAATACAGCATCTTCAGCGACACTAGTATCATGATATTAAAAAATAGCTTGATGACACGTTTATTAATAAAGTATATTATTAGTACAGATATCTTTCAAGCAAAATATTTAATCAATTGTGAAATTATAACTTATTTCTTTGTGTTTGTATTAGTTGTTGGCGCTGTTTGCTGTTGTGGAATATTGGGTGGTGAAGATTGTAGCATTTTTGTAGCTAATGTAGCTCCAACAAGAACAGCACCGCCAAGTACTACTACACGCACGGCTGTTCTACCTAAGAATCGAAGCATGATTTAATCAATAAAAAATATTGTTTAAACAATTGTTGAAGACGTAGGTTTATATGAAGTCCTGAAAAAAAGGCACAATTAAAATAATAAACAAAGTATGTTATTAAATATTATTTTAATCAAAACAATTTTCTTCTCTATAATAATTTCTTGTAAAAACAATTTTGTGTTTTCTATCTCTTGTCAATAAATGGTTGTAATCAATTCTTTTGTTTATATATTGTCTCAATAATTTCATCCTCAATAGCTTCGAGCATCTATACATTCAGACATATGTATCATATACACATTTTCTTCTTCTTTCTATTCTTAATCATACTTGATACATAGATTAGTTTTTTTTGTTGCATGCATGCATTTTTAAGTTCGATTACTACGCTTGATTGCATACGCTTTTACTAGGTGAGCAAAGACAGAAAAGAACAGTAACACCTGGTATATTCATCCAACCGAATATATTTATCTTATGTATACACGTTTATATATATATTTGTCAAAAGAGCAGAACAAAAAAAAGAAAAGCGAAATAATGATACAAAAGTTAGTCGATGTCGCTACCACTGCATCCATTTTTTGCTGATGTCGTTGCAATAAACATCGGATAATTTTTTTCATAATTTTTAAGCATTTCATTTAAAAAATGTTTGAAAAACATCTACAGCAGTTGTTATTGCCGGTGCACCAAAACCATGTGTTATAAGAGAAAATCTTGATAATGAATGTTGAACAGATGGATCAAGTGTAGGCGGAATTGTAGATAAACGATGATGAGATATAAGTGATGAACTAGATGTATGTCGAGAATTTGTTGAACTAGTATTATTACTTGTTGATGATGCAACATTAACAGGTGATCGATCTTGTTTAAGTAAATCACTAAATTCTTGAACTAATTGTCTAAAATAAAAGCGAAATATATATATACATAAACTTCAAAATTAATAGAAATATTTACTTAGCAGCTAATATCATATTTCTTCGTGTACTTATTTCGTTTGGATCTGAATAATGTCGTGCTACATAATCCGCAGTAATTTCAACAGGAAATTCAGCTTCACATACTGTACGAAAATCCATCGCTAATTGATTTGCTTCTCCTGAAATACAAAAAAAAA